AATACTCTAGTAACACTTCCTCCTCCACATCTATAATTTTTATTATCACAAGAGATTGGTGATTATGGTGATAATTAATCTTAAAATTCACCATTTCTGACTTTACATAACCTATCACTTGTAGCTGAGACAGCAGCGATAGAATAGCTGGATGAACAATTTCCTATCGATTAAACAATAGTTTACCTTAATTGTAGATTGGTTAAGCACATTCTGGTTAAACTTCTCTAAAATTATAACTCTCTGGAATTATTACTCCACTTTCTGAACATTAAGGTATTTTTCCTTTGAATGTTAAATGATTGTTAAAGATGAATTTAGCATCACTAAATTTCCAATCTTTAAAGAAATCATTTGGTCCTTATTAATAAGATCCTAAAGAATTATGACTAGCAATTTCTTCCTCATCAATTACAGGAGTAGTAGTCAGTTTCTTGCTTGAACGTGTTAGAATTGAAAATAATGCATAAACACACACAAATCCAAATGCACCTATTACCAAATGGTATGCATATTTTTCAAAAAAGCTTGGTTATGTTTGGTTACGTCTTTTCATTGCTTATGCTGCCTTTTCTCTTTATGCAACTTTTTCTGGAGATTAAGGGGATGGACTTCTTTATCTTTACGATACTTAACTCATATTTTAATTTAATTATTTAACACGTTTTATTAATTAAATTTAATATAAACATAAAATATAATTGCAATACAAGTCATAAACTTATTATCTAATAATATTATCAACGAAAATATATTCTTAAATTTTAATTTGATAATCATTGAAATACGACATATTATAGACATTTTAGGTTCTTAAATTTTGTTAATTAATTAATTTGTTTGATATATATTTCAAAATTATTTCAATAAATAAATAATAAAACTCATAGTTTAACATTGTAATTTTATTAAAGATGATTTCAATAGGATGAAAGCAATTCTTCCAATTTCTTTTAATAATTATTGAGTTTTTGAGAATTAACCTAGACCTCAACTGATGATAATCTCTTTTCATTGTCTGATGCTATTAAATTGACAATTAAGAAGTTATGGAGATAATAAAGTAATTTATATTAAGAAGATATATATCATTTGATAAAGAAGATAAATTTAATACTATAGATAATGCAAATGATAATTATATCAATATAATTTAATTCAAATTTATCTTAATATATATTATTAAAAATAAATCAAAAAATAACAAGAACTTAATATTATTAAAAATGCATTTTTCAATAATTTTTCTTTATAAATTAATAATTCTAATTATTCTTAATATAAAATTTATAGTATTATGCATATCTAAAGATGATAAATAATTTTATTTATTTGAAAATGAAAAAATGTTATGATTACAATGTTAAAAATGAAAAGTGAAAAATTTATTTCTTAATAAAATTCTTATTATAATGAATCTTTTTTTGTGATATCAAATTTTATGAAAACTATTACTTTTTTTATTTATGAATTTTATATAGAAATTATTTGCCTAAAATAAGAGTAAAATAGTGTAATATGTTATCTAATAATGCTAATCTTACCTTTTATATTTTTGAAATAATTTAATTAAATAATGGCTGAATAAGAAAAGAATTTAGATCCTCCAGATTATCAACCAGACCAAGATCAATAACCTTTAAAACAAGACTTAGATAATAATCAAATTTTAGATCAGGAAGGACAATAATAAACATAAAAATACAGTGAAACTAATCCTATGGGTAGTGTGTTAAATCAAGTTTATTACGAGGAAGATCCTAAATTGATGAGAAGAGATGTCAAGAAAAAAATAAAGAAACAATAAAAGGAATAAAAATTGATTTCAGCAAGAAGACTAAAAAGATTGTTGCGTAAGAAACCTGTTGATAAAGTGAGATTGGCTTATTAAGCTTATTTTTTTATAGTTAGTTTAGCTGTATTAGCATTAAGTATTTTATCTTACAGAGATCAAACAGTATATGAAGGCGATTATTAATAATTTTTAGATAACATGGGTTCATATGTTATAGATGATATTCAATTTACTTATACAAATAAAAATTGTAAGAGTTAATTTGGAGATGAAGTATATATCAATTGAAAAATATAGTATTCCTCATTATATGAATATTATTGGCCTGGAACTATGATTGGATGTGATTGTAGCGAAGGATTTAATTTTGATTTGTTATAGGATTAAAATATACGAAATATAGATGATTTCTTTAAATAATCATTTATGCTTGGTAGAGTTTGTAGTTAGGAAATGACGACAAGAAATTGTAACACAGTAGATGAATAATAACCAAAAGTTTTTAATTCTTGGAATGATGGTTCTTATGGAAGACGTAAGTGAAATCTCGTATTTTAGCCTTTGTTTTATGTGCTAGAAGAAACACTGGAATAAGTATATAAACTAATTAAAGTTATTGTGAATCAGAAAATAAAACTATCTGTGGTACAGGAGATAATAAATTTTGTGTTCCATCTGATATGAGTTGTCCAATCTCTGATATAGGGTTTACTACTAATCCTAATTTCTAAAACTTAAGAAAATTAAATGATACTAAAATTGGAAATATTTATGATTTGGGGAAAGGGTTTTATTTTTATTACTTAAAAAACACATCAAATTTACCTCTTGTTGAATTTAGAGTTACAGAAAGTGATAAAGTTTGTAGAAGAAATAAAAATTAAAATATCTCTCCAAACAGAATTGATTATCCTCTAATGACAGATAGAAGAAAATAATGTGAAAATACAGATCCATTATTTAAATTAATTCATTCTATTGATGAAGAATAATACTATTTATCCAACAATGTCATTTATTTACAAGATAAATTACCATATTTTAACATAGATACTAAATATAATTGGACAATGCATTCTAAGACTTATATTCCTTGGGCTCCATAATGCAGAGGATAATTATTCGATGATGTAATTCATGAAGGAGGCACATTATTTTTTGTATATATATCCTTAAGAGTTTAATTGGGAGTCACTATAACATATTTTATTGTTATTGGTCTTATATTTAATATAGTTGGAACAATGACTGCTTGTAATTTTGCTTGGTCTTGTATGGCAAGTAATAACAATTTCATATTATTTAGCTCGTCCTGAATCTTAATATAATTATATATTTTTTATTGAAATTGGCTTTAAGATGGTTTTGTAAATAGCTGAAATCATTGTTATATGTGTTTCATTTGCAATTATTGATAGTAAAAGACTTGTGATTAAAGATGTCAATGATAATTAATGTGTTTCAGATCCAGTAAGTGATTACTTATTCACCAATCTAGAAAATGATTTAACTAAATTTGCTTGGTCATATAATCTAGCTAATTTAGTCATCTTTGCAGTTACATTAATTTTAGATTTAATAATAATAAAACACTCCTTAAATCAAGGACATCATCATGGAGCAAAAAAACATCATGAAAAGGGAGAACATTAAGAATTAGATATAGGATCAAACGGAGAATCCATAAATTAGTAGGATGTTAAAAGCGATCAAAAGTTATAAGCTAAAAGTGATATATTATAGTCTCCATAATGATAAAATTTCCTATTTAATATTTTTAATAAAGAATATCAAATTAAATCATTTATTAACATTATTATTTCATATTCTAATATTTCATCATAGTATTCTTATAATGATTATTTAACTTAAGATTTGATGTTGTGAATGAAAGATTAGATATTATTTATATCATAATTTTATGCCTAAATTTTCAGTTGAAAAAAAAATTGATCTTTTGCTTTTTGTTCATCATATTAAATAATAAATTTGTAATTCTATTCAATTTCATTTTTGATTTCATCATTTATTTTATTACTATTTTAATATTCTTCTAAAATAAGTTTTAAGTGATCATTTAAAATGCTTTGATTATTTTAATTTATGATATCAATAACTTAAGTAAATTATTCATCAATATTTTAATTCCAAGATTCAAAAAAGTTTCCTAAATGTTTCCAAATTATTTTCATCATTTATTATTTTACAATATATTCAAAAACATAAAATATCTAGAATTATTCTTAATTATAATTTCCAGTGTCAATAATTTCAACCTATTATTCATCAATATCATATTCTTTAGAATTATTCTGATATTTTAATTTATAATTAACTGATTGACTACTAATTGTTTCCAAAAAATTTAAAAGAATAGTTGAAGATCTATATCTTTTTGATAACCTACCATATTCTTCTCCTTCCTAACATTGAATAGTTTAAACATTTTAAATTATTGTAGAAGGATAAATTTAAGTTTTTTTGATTTTTTAAGTTTATTAATCAACACATCTAAAATAATTATATTAAATACTCTCTAATATATAAATTAAAAAAGTCAACTAATTAAGATATTTCAATCTCTTTTTTTTAATACAATTTTAAATTAGTAATAATAAAGTTGAATAATTCACACATTTAATTTTAATATGCTGATATCAATGAAATACAGCAATTAATAATATCATAATTATCTTAAATATAATTAATTTCATATTTAACATCATCAATAATTCTATAATTAATTAAATACACTCTTTATATTGTAAATTTTAGTTATTAGATTGTTAATTTATTATCTTTATCATTTTTTAATTTAATAACAATATTTTAAGGATTTAATCTTCCATGTGATATTTTCAATTAATGTAATTATTAAAGATGTTTTAACACTTCTAAAATAATTATTAAAACCTATCCTTTATAAATTTTAATGAAATTGTATTGCTTAATATAATAATACAATATACCATTGATTCTATTAATTAAGCCAAGCTGAAACATTCAGATTAAGGAAATACATATTCAAGACAATCTTTTATTTCCTAAGTATTTAAATATTCATTATTTTCAAATAATCTTATTTTTCTAACCTAATCATCATTTCCTTGTACTCTTTATGAAATATTATACTAATTCTACCACCCTTTCATTTTTTATAAAATTATATTAATACATTTCAGAATTAAAATTATAAATCCCAAAATAATTTATATAATAGCTTTATATGATACTTTTGATCAACCACTTTTTAGTTAAAAAAAAGCCTTGAGATGATAGAAAAATTTTTTTTTAATATAAATGATAATAGAATTAGAGTGATAGTAAATTTTTTAATATAAATAAAATTATTTGTGATCATTTTAAATCACTCCTAGTAATTTAAATTTACTTAAAATATACATAAGCTTTTGTTTTATTTCACTATAAAAATCTTTCTGATCGAGGGTTAAGTTGAATAATAATTGATTGTTATATTAACTTGTTTGTTCTTTGAAATTATATAATTTAATATATTTAATCACTCTTTATAATTAAAAATATTGAATTGTATCATTACTATTATTGACTCTTGATATAATTAAAATAGTTGATTAATTATGGATAAGGAAAAGAGATGAATGATTAAGGATAATTAAATTTTAAAATTAGATTTAAAATTAATTAAATATAATCAATGCCTGCTAAAAAGAGAACTGTGAGAATTGGTAATTGGTATAAGAGTGATGATGAAAACGTCCATTTCGTTAGAAAAAGAAAAGTATAGTGAAATAAAATCAAAAAGGCTCCAAGACCAGCTAAATTGAGAAAGATTGTTCCAGGACAAGTATTAATCTTGTTGGCTGGAAGATTCTAAGGAAAGAGAGTAGTATTCTTGAAGCAGCTTAAATCAGGATTGTTGCTTGTAACAGGTCCATTCAAAATTAATGGTGTCCCACTCAAGAGAGTCAACTCAGCATATGTCATTCCAACATCCACTAAGGTAGATGTTAATGGAGTGAATGCTGGTTAAGTGGATGATGATTATTTCAAGAGAACATAAGCTTAAAGACGTAAAAATGAATAAGGATTCTGGGCCAAGAGAGGAGAAGTAAAGTTACTTAATAATGTATTAGCTTACAGCTGAATAATAAGCAGCAGAAAAAACAAGATTGGATGGAAAAAGAAAGACTTAAAAATCAATTGATGATGCATTGATTGCAGCTGTTAAGAAAACTCCACTTTTGAAACAATATCTTGGTGCACGTTTCAGCATTGGAAAAACAACTAGACCACATGAATTAGTCTTTTGATTATTCCAAGATTTTATCGTACAATATAAAATATTATAAATCATATTAACATCATTCTTTTTTAAAAGATTATAATATTATCATAAACATCTATTACTACATTATAATGTATTATATTATAATAATCAATCTAATTATTATTTTAGAATAATCTTTAATCATCATTGTTTATTAAATAATAAAATAATTAAGTGTTAAGTATAATCATAATATATTTTTAGAGCTTTAATATTGTGGTAATTTTATGTATGCTTATTCGATGAATTAGATTATTAGTATCAAATAATTTGGAATAAATTATTAAAAGATTTATTTTGTATTTTGAAATGGGAAAATTGTAAGCAATAGTAATATAGCTAGTTTGAAACCAGGTCGTCTAGTAGTTATGCTAGCTGGAAGATATGCAGGAAAGAAGGCTATTTTGATTAAAGCAAATGAAGAATCAACTAAAGTAAATCAAATATCGATTTATTTTAGGATGCAAAATTCCCAAATGGTTTAGTTGTTGGTATTTAAAGATATCCAAGAAAAGTTACCAAGAGAATGGGTTAAAAATAAATCAGAAAGCGAACTACTTTGAAAGTGTTCATTAAATAATTAAATCTTAATCACATTATGCCAACAAGGTATTCATAAATTGATTGTTTTTAGATACAGATTAGAAGAATCAACTTTAAAAGAAGTTAGAGATAGAATTGAAAGAGTTAAAGAGTCTGAATTGAAGAATGTTGAAAAAAGAAAGGACTTGAGAAAGAATTTGAGAAAATATTTAGCTGAAAAATATAGAACATTGCCTGCAGGAAGTTTGGCTGATAAGAAAGCTCAATCAAGATTCCTTTTCTCAAAATTGAGATTCTGATATATATTACATAAGTATAATATAAAATAAAGAAACGTAAACATTTTAACTTTATTGATATTGTATTAATCTATAGGTTAATTAATTTAATTATTAGACATGTTCTTTTCATAAAAATTTACATATTATTATAAAAATTGAATATGTGTATTAAAATTTATTAATGTATTAAATTAAATATATTTTTTATAAAATCAAAAACAGAGTTCTATTCTTTCATCAATTAATACTATTTTAAATTTCATTATCAAAATAATTGATTATAAATTATTACTATATATATATATATAATTATATAAAATCAATATAATTAAACAAATGGTTGAAATCTATTGAAGTAAAACCTATTCCAAGTGACAAAAGATCAAATTAAGCTGATTTTTAAAATAATATAATATATAAATAAAATAAAATTTACATAAATTGAAAAAGAACTTAAAATCTTTATGACATTTAATATATTGTAATATATTCTTGGAGAGATTATTATAGGATATGAATTCTAACTCAAAAAGAATTTGTTAATAATCATATTAGTTATTAGAATAAACAAATTAAATTCTTTTAATTGAGATATTATTTANTATATTTTTAGAGCTTTAATATTGTGGTAATTTTATGTATGCTTATTCGATGAATTAGATTATTAGTATCAAATAATTTGGAATAAATTATTAAAAGATTTATTTTGTATTTTGAAATGGGAAAATTGTAAGCAATAGTAATATAGCTAGTTTGAAACCAGGTCGTCTAGTAGTTATGCTAGCTGGAAGATATGCAGGAAAGAAGGCTATTTTGATTAAAGCAAATGAAGAATCAACTAAAGTAAATCAAATATCGATTTATTTTAGGATGCAAAATTCCCAAATGGTTTAGTTGTTGGTATTTAAAGATATCCAAGAAAAGTTACCAAGAGAATGGGTTAAAAATAAATCAGAAAGCGAACTACTTTGAAAGTGTTCATTAAATAATTAAATCTTAATCACATTATGCCAACAAGGTATTCATAAATTGATTGTTTTTAGATACAGATTAGAAGAATCAACTTTAAAAGAAGTTAGAGATAGAATTGAAAGAGTTAAAGAGTCTGAATTGAAGAATGTTGAAAAAAGAAAGGACTTGAGAAAGAATTTGAGAAAATATTTAGCTGAAAAATATAGAACATTGCCTGCAGGAAGTTTGGCTGATAAGAAAGCTCAATCAAGATTCCTTTTCTCAAAATTGAGATTCTGATATATATTACATAAGTATAATATAAAATAAAGAAACGTAAACATTTTAACTTTATTGATATTGTATTAATCTATAGGTTAATTAATTTAATTATTAGACATGTTCTTTTCATAAAAATTTACATATTATTATAAAAATTGAATATGTGTATTAAAATTTATTAATGTATTAAATTAAATATATTTTTTATAAAATCAAAAACAGAGTTCTATTCTTTCATCAATTAATACTATTTTAAATTTCATTATCAAAATAATTGATTATAAATTATTACTATATATATATATATAATTATATAAAATCAATATAATTAAACAAATGGTTGAAATCTATTGAAGTAAAACCTATTCCAAGTGACAAAAGATCAAATTAAGCTGATTTTTAAAATAATATAATATATAAATAAAATAAAATTTACATAAATTGAAAAAGAACTTAAAATCTTTATGACATTTAATATATTGTAATATATTCTTGGAGAGATTATTATAGGATATGAATTCTAACTCAAAAAGAATTTGTTAATAATCATATTAGTTATTAGAATAAACAAATTAAATTCTTTTAATTGAGATATTATTTAAAATTATGTACCAATAGGCAACTCAGTATCCGAATTCAAAGTTTAAAACACAACTTTGTAGACATTTTAGTAAGTATTTGGATCAAAATATAGCATCAAATGGGGTTTGTGCTTTAGGGTTAAGATGTTAGTTTGCTCATGGACCATAAGAACTTAGAGCTAATAGTTTATAAACAGGATATGTTGAATAAGTTATTCCTGCCAATAATTTCAATAAGGTTTAAGGGATTAACCCAATGATTGTTAATTACAAAAGTAAATGATCAACATCATGAATATAGCATAATTATGCAAGCATTTCAATCCATAAACAGGTCAATGCAAAAATGGACCTACTTGTACTTTTGCCCATGGGGAAAGTGAATTAAACACAATGCCATATTTATAAAGTTAATACTAGTAAAGCTTCTATATGAATATCCATTAGATAGATGTAATAATAAATGAAATAAATGAACTAACAATAATTACAGGCTGATCTTACCTAACAGATACTTGTTATGATATTAACTAATATGGAGCTCATATTTCCAGGATAGCAAGTACATTGCTCTTTTATTAATTTTAAGCAAATTTTGTATCTCTTAAAATAAGGTCAAGACAAGGCAAAGTAAGGAGATACTTAGGGAGCAAGTGATATCATTAAATAAATTATACATGATTAAGAAAGATCAAAGGAGGAGAAATAATAATATTAATAAATCTATAATAATGCTTAAAGGCATTATGATTAAAAATTGAAAGAGATTTAATCTTAATAGTAATAACAGCTTTATTGAAATATATTATTATATATATATATATACACATATAATTAATAATCGCTTATATTTAAATTATATTTTTAGGTAATAAATAAGAGGAATTCCAAGAGATAAAAAAAGGATTTAATACAATAATAAGTGTTATTATAAACCATAAGAATTAAAATAAATTTCTATCAATTTTATATATAAAAATATTCTTTGTTCATTATAAAGGATTTTTTTAATATCTTTATTAATTTTAAATTCCATTCTCAATTTCCTTATAAATTTTTATGTGAAAATAAATTTAAGTCTTAATGGATATCTTTAGTAATTACATAATGATCTCTTTCATTTTAAAATAATGATAACATATAATTAAGTTGAAATTTGATGCAGAAATTAGAATATTGTTTTTGTGTATAGATTATCACTTCAATTTTAAACACTGAAGGTCCTCAATTTGAAATAGAGCACTCGCAATTTTTTTAGCTATCAATATTTGTATATAATTTTTATCGTTTTCAGCAGAGTTTTTATCTAATTATAAGTTTTTGGATAAGTTATCAAAATATGAGTTAGGGTAAATTAATTAGTTGATTTTTTCATATCCTTTAACACTTAATTTAAATCATATTTGGGATAAAGACTTTGAAGTTATTCTCTATAATCTCTTGAGTTTACATGAATTCTTTTATAGTCAATCCTGATTATTTAAAAGATGGGTTAAAATTGATTTTTTTATTCCATAATTAAGTGATCCAAAAATTTCCCATCAAATTCAAATAAGACATTCTTTCATATCCAAATATTTTTTGATTATATAAAACCTTTTTAGTTTTAATGTTTCAAAGGGTTATAAAAAAATAGAGGAGATATTAGAATTTTAAGTTTTCTCCATATAAAATGCTAACAATATTTGTACGATTAAATCAACTAAAAGTAAAATATCTATTTGCCATACAAATATCAAGCTTTAAAAAATAATTGAATAAGTTCAGTAACTCTTAGATAGATAAATTAACAGCTTATAATGATTGTATTATATAATCAGTATGGGATATATAAATCAGAAAAGAATTATTCGACTTACATAATTTAATTTAAGATTTAATTAGAAATGAAATTCGATGGCTCTGATTAACAAGGTGAGGATTATCTTGATCCTACTGTTAATACCTCTAAATAATTGGAAACAAATAATTGTTCATAATAAAGAACAGGTCATTGGGATGATAATGAGCATTCGATATATTTAGAATTTTTATAAAATGTCAGGGGTGCTGATGGCTCATACAAGAAAGGATAACCATTATTTAAAAAAATGAGTGAGATTATAGGAACTAGATCTCCAAGCTAATGCAGGTATTTTTTAATAAAAATCTAGATCACATCATTAAAAATTCAACCCTTATAACTAACTAATTAAGAAAAGCAAGAAGAAATGCTATAAAAATAGAATAAAAGTAGAAAGTAAACCAATTTTAAGGAGCAAATAAATTATGAGGAAATATTTTGCTATGATTAAAGAAACAACTGATGAAGAATGACACTTTTGACTATAAAAAATTAATATTGTATAATACAGACTAATTATAGAAATATATTATTATTTATAAAAACTTCATTTAAGCACTCATAATTGCAAGATTCATTTAGGATACGTTTACTTTACATTAAAGAAACATTTTTGAAGTACAATATGAATTACAAATGAGATCTAAGAGTTTTAAAAGATATTTAGTATAATGGATTGAGAAATAATTTAATTTACTAAATATTCATCAAATATAATACTTAATTATGGAAATAAAATTTAGTATATCTCCATTATTTGCCAATTGCATAGAATTTTAATATAAAATTATTATAATATAATAAGCGAATGATTCTTTTTTTGAGTCACAAGTTAAATTTTAACAAAAAACTTTAAGTATAATTCAACCTGTGAAATTAATTTGTAATTTTTATAAAAAGAAATTTGGAGATTAATAATGGAGGTTTTTCAAAACTTTTTGTAAAATATAATTAATTCTTATATACTAATTGTATTTTCAAGAATAAATGATCATAACATGTAATTTTTTATTAATAACTTATTCCTATATTAATTAATTCATAAATTGTCTAATGTCAAAACAATAAAATTTTTATTAATATATATATATTCATCATTAATTATAGTCAATCGAAGATTTTAGATCTTCTTAATTTAGATTGTGAAAGACTTTAACTTGATGATTTATATTGTTTCAAATCTAAATTAAGTCCTGGTCTTTATTTTGGTGCATTATATTACTATATATATTATTATTAAATATATTACAATTGTTGATTGAATAATAGGAGGTTTTGATTCATTCAATTATCTTCCTGTTTAATCATTTAAACTTTTAGATAATAATGGTTAAAATTATGCTGTAGTTTAATATTAAGGATGCAAACTTTAAGTTTAAATTGGATTTACTTATTCATTAAAAGGCAAATTTTATGATTGAATATAATAATCTTTTTGTTCAAGTATTTTAGATTATTAAATATTTGATGTAGAGTATTGTTAGGTATTTCTAAGTCTCTAATCAATTTAATCATTAATGGATTATTATTAAATAGGTTAAGGTGGATAAAATATTTTTGTTTATTCAGATACTCTTAGATTATTCTGTTAATTTGATTAAATTTATGGATCTAACATTCTTTATGTACTTTCCAATCGATTTGTTTAAAATTACACTTAATGTGCATCATTAGATTATTATTAATATCCTTATGGTGGTAATTATTGTGAAAAATTTCTAACTCTTGCAGTTGAAAATAAATATGGATTGTTATCTAAATTGTAAAAACTTTTTTTTTTTTCTTTTTGAGTATTTTCTATTTGAACTTTCTTTGGCATTTATAATGGAGGGTATCTTTCAATTACTGTCTCCTGTGGATAAATAATTGTTGATGGCAATGGCTCAGTGATAGGTATCACATTTGATAATACTTAATAGGGTTCAAAAGGTATTGGGTATGGTTAATATTGCTAATAATACATGGGATATCCTTATGGAATGTTACTGAATATAAAAATTTGAAATTACTTTATAGGTTGATCATATGGATGTTGAGAATAGATCATTAGAAGTAGTTAATTATATCAATAAAATTTTATTATATATAATCATAAAATTATTATCAATCATTTTAATATTCATAATATTATAGGAATGCCTTTTTAATCTTTTACATAGGGTAATTAATAGAATTTATAAACTATAAAGAGCATTCATTTGTATAACTGTTACAATACTAATTTTACATTTATCTAATTATCTGCCATTTCTTATCATGTATAATTCATCCAATTATAGTTTAAATTCACCGTATATGAATATATCATTTAGTTCTCTAATTAAAAATATGATAACTATATATTTTTTTTGAATAAACTATTATGAAGGTGAGATCCTTAAAATGAATGTTAAAATTGATAATATCTTGATAAAATCAATCATTTATATGATGTTTTAAATCTTCAAATTTAAGTTTATTGGATTAAGTGTAATTCTAAGTTTCTTCTTTTTATAATATTTCTAATTCAAGAATTCAAGAGGATTTTAATTGATTTAAATTAAATTAAGAATTTTTGGATTACCAAATTATTAAGGATGAATTTTTATAAAAAGAGTATTGGATGGTCATCTTACATAATGAACATTTTTCAAGAGTAGTTTATCTAAAATAATATATTTTGGTATATTATTAAAAATAAACTAATACTATAAATTCTAAAATAAAAAAAAGAATGATGTAATTAAATCTGAAAGATTAATATATATCATAGACAGAGATAAATTATACTGTTTATCTAATATATATATGAAATGTAAGATAGAATCATATATAATAATTTCTACTAAATAATTAAATTATCTATAATTATTAGTTTATTGTTGATACTAATAATGTAAATCTTAATGATAACAAATCTAATCAAATATATGAATATTAAAAAATATATTATGTATATATAAAATCAATTAGATCTAATAGAATAAATCAATCAATATTAAAAAAATAAAAACAAAAATAGGAATGTTAAATATTATAGAATGTACTATATTAATTTATATTTTTGAAACACTTATTGATTATATATATAAATCTAATAGATAGCATATAAATATAAATAATATTTTGTATAGTTTAGAATTGAAAATATATCAAAATGATTGGATATAGAGATCTATGTGAAATTTTGATTTGAATATAATTTCAAGAGCACTTTTTATTGAAAATTTTATTATTATTATTTTTATGTCAGAAGTGTATTTAAACAAATTAAGGGATTAAGCAATACAATTGATAGCATAAGGTATTGAAAATATAGGATGTAGGGAAATCTGAATACTTGGGAGGAGCTACTCTTGAAGCCAAATAAGGAGGATATGATAAAATGAAATTAGGATGCTAAGAATTAGTAAAATATGCTAGACAAGAGACAAGTCCATAGTTGTGTTAAATTGCCAGTTAAAAGTTAAATGAGTTTACTACAGAGATGCAAAATATGAAAGCTTATCTAGATAATTATAGAGCAAATCTATAAGTGTAAGCCCAGGTTCCATCTCAATTACAATAAAAATAATAGTTCCCTTAAAATCCATAACCTTAATAATAATCAAAAATTATGAATGGATAAAATGATTTGAATAAAAGCACAAACTCAAAAGATGTATAAGATTAAGGAAAATAAAAGTAAACTTTATTTTTTAATAATTATATTAGACTTGTTGAAGGATAATAAGCTTTGAGGAATAATCTATCGACAGCTATAGTCACTGAAAAGCCAAATGTCAGTTGGGATGATGTTGCTGGTTTAGAGAATGCAAAGAATTCATTAAAAGAAGCTATAATAATGCCAATGAGATTCCCAGAACTTTTTTAAGGAGCACGTAAACCATGGATGGGAATTCTATTATATGGAGTACAATAATATTGAAATATGTTAGCCTCCAGGAACAGGTAAAACATTTTTAGCTAAAGCATGTGCAACTGAATGTGAAGGAACATTCTTTTCTGTATCTTCAGCAGATTTAATATCAAAATTTGTAGGAGAATCAGAGAGATTAATAAAAGAATTATTTAATATGGCTAGAGAATCAAAACCAACAATTATATTTATTGATGAAGTTGATTCTATGACTAGTAATAGAGAAGGTGGAAGTGGAAATGAAGCCTCATCTAGAGTTAAGACTCAATTCTTAGTAGAAATGTAAGGAGTTGGCAATAACAATGATTCAGTTTTAGTTTTGGGTGCCACTAACTTACCATGGGCTTTAGATCCAGCTATAAGAAGAAGGTAATATGATTTTTAAATATTATTAATAGATTTGAAAAGAGAATATATATTCCCCTGCCTGATATTTAAGGAAGGTTATAATTGTTGAAAAACAAAATGAAAAATACTCCTAATAATTTAACTCCAGCAGAATTTGAAGATATTGCTAAAATGTTGGATGGATATTCAGGGTCTGATATGAATACTTTAATAAGAGATGCTTCATTTGAACCTTTAAGAAAAACTGAAAGGGCTACTCATTTTAAATACACATAAACTCCAGAAGGAATGAAATACATGGCTTGTTCTCCTTCTGATCCTTAAGGTTAATAAATGAGAATGTATGATATCAAAGGTGGATAACTTTATTTACCATAAATAGAATATGTATTTATATTTTATCATTTTTCAAGGATGATTTCTTAAGTGTACTTCCAAAATGTAGACCATCTGTTTCTTAGGGTGATCTTAAAAAATATGAAGATTGGACTGCTGAATTCGGACAAGAAGGATGATTGATTATCAATAATAATTTCTAATTTGTTGAAATTTATTTTTCTTAATAATATTTTCTTTACATTTCTCTCCATAAAATATTGAATAATAAATAAAATAAAATGCTTTTTGTTCTTGATACTATGGTCAGTCAAGATGATACTCCTATCAGTGCTTCCTCATTCTTTGGTTTTATGGGAGTCACTATGGCATTGGTGTTAGCAAGTATTGACTTATGATTGATATATTTATTATAGATTTGGGAGCAGGATATGGAACATTTAAAGCAGGAGCTGGAATTGCAGCTATAGGTATTTGGAAACCAGAAATTATCATGAAATCATTAATCCCTGTAGTTATGGCAGGTATTTTGGGTATCTATGGTATGATTGTGGCTGTATTACTATCACAGAAAGGTAATAATATATTTGATTATTAAAAATAGTTAAAAATCCTTTGAGTTACTCTTATAAATCTGGTTTTGCTCATATGGCATCTGGATTATGTTGTGGATGTAGTTGTATTGCAGCAGGATTTGCTATAGGAATTGTTGGTGATGTTGGTGTCAGAGGAAATGCATAATAGGAAAGATTATTTGTAGGATTGATTTTAATCCTCATTTTCGCAGAAGCATTGGCCTTATATGGTTTAATTGTGTCATTGATCTTATCACAATCATGAGTATCATTAATAAAATATTAATAAAAAAATCATCATCTCTAATTCTGATTACTATAATGATAATTCAACATAACTCTCATTATATTATATGAGAATCAAAAAATAATTTGTCTTAAAATAGTTTTAACTATACATATTTTTACTTATTTTCTTCAAATCAAGTATTAATCTTAAATAAATGTATTATCTTTTATATAAAATCAAGTTACTTTTCATTATTAATTTGTAAAATGTTAATTTTCTTTTGAATAGATTAGAACTATACTAAATATAATTGATTTTTCTTATAATATAAGTTTTATGATCAGAATTTAAATTGATTTCTAGAATATCATTGATTTAATTATTCATGTATATTAGTTTGATTATTAATTCTTTAGAAAAAGTAAATTATTATTGTAATTAAAGTTGATTTAGTTAATTAATAAAATTCCATTTTGCATAATATTTTAATAATTTAATTTCAATCATCTTATAATCTACTTTTAACATTTTTTATTATTTGAATTTGATTGATGATGTTAATAATATTTCATAAAGAAAAGATGTTTAATATAATCTATTATTTTTAATAAAGATAATCAATGTATGGGTTAATAAATAGGTATCAATTACTTAATATTCGAACGTGGGGTAATAGCTCATTTGGTAGAGCGTATGCTTAGCATGCATGAGGCGCTGAGATCGAAGCTCGGTTGCTCCATATTTTTTTTAATTTATATTTTATTAACTTTCATAATTACACGTTTATATATATAATAACATTTATTGTTAAATTGATTATTAGAAAATAAGTAAAGAGTTTAAATATCAATAATAGAAGAAATAAATTTCATTAAAAATATGCAAACAAAAGATGCTTAAAGAATTTATCTTAATTTCTATATATTTTTTCATTTGTTTCTTAACTCTTTCAAAATAATTAATTGAATGATGAATGTACAATAAAATTAGAATAAAAATTCATAAGAAATCAATACTAAATTGTATACATGTTATAGGTTCACAAATGTTTAATTCTAATTTTTTAGTATTAGCATTTAAAGAAAGGGTATAAATATTCATTAAAATTGAGATAATTATAAGCATGTTTAAGATTAATTAGATAATTTGCATATAATAAAGTATTTTTATTAATTAAAATTTATCTAATCAATTTTAAGTTATAATCTAATATAAAATCACTAGAGTATTGACTTTGAAATAGGAAACCATTCATTTTTATATTTGGTTATTAAGATTGGTTAACAAATCATCAATTCTAATTGATTTAAGTATTTCAATTATTAATTTAGATTTTGGATACAAGTTATGTATATGATTGATATATATAATTATTCATAATTCTCTGAATGCACCCTCATTTTATTTATTAGTTTAATTCTATTTTATTTAAAGTAAAATGCTTTGGAAGTATTCCTAATAAATAAAATGGAGGTTGAGATATTATGATTATAGAAATAAAAGTTGATTAATCTAAACAAATTTGTTACATATTTATTTATATAAAAATGGAATGGTAAAGAAATATATAATTTATATCAATAATAATTTTGAAAGTAATTGAAATAACATGAAATAATTTCCTTTTGATATTAAAATTAGATATTTATTTTTTAAATAAAAATGAACACAGCCACCTAATAGCAATAAAGAGGTTAAAAATAAAAACTTGATCCAACTGATAATAAATTGCATGTCTCTTCTAAGAAAAATGCAAGAGAATTCATATTCATTTCAAAAATATTTTTGAAGAAATTCCAAAATGTTGAATTGCATGCTTTAGGTGAAGCTACTAAGATTAGTGTTAGAGTTGCTGAAAACTTATAGAGATAAGGTATTAGTTAAAATTTATGTAAAGGTTTGGTTACAATAACTAAAATTAATTCATTCACAGCTGATATTGAAGGAAGAAAGAGAGTGAAATTGGTTGTTAGTTTACAACTTACCTAAGATGGAAAAGCAAGAATCGATTAAGAATTTTAAGCTTGAGTGATTAAATGAAAAGAGCAAAATAGTACACATATATTAAATTGTTTTATTATTATATTACAATATTCTGTTCTTGAATTTTTTAATTATTGATCTTATATTAGATAGAAATCATTAGTGTTATAAAATGAAAAAGTATTTTTTTATTGATTTAAAACTTAAGGGAATAGGAAACTAAAAAAAAACATATATAGAATATCAGAAAAAAGGCAATCATTTAATTGAATTCATTCCAGCTATAAGAAGGCTTCTTTTTTCTTTTTATTTTGCATAAGAACCTTAATTTAATATTTCTGATTTTATCATTGGTCTATCTTATTGTAAATCAAGGGATTATGACTTAGATTAGAATTGTCTTGAGATGTTTGGCAAGACATTCTATCTTGGTAAATCTCCATCTGTATGTTCTACTCTAATACCAAATTCTAATATTTTTAAATAGTTATACACAACACACTTTTTGGTATTGCTATCAATTCATAATCATTTAAGTTGACTGATCCTGTTTTCGAGAGAGGAAATGAATACATTTCCTTATCTGGAACAAATTGTGATCGATACATATTTGACATATTAGTACCAGGTTTTAATGGAGAAGCATGTGACAATTTTCTATTTTTATTAAATGTTTTAATGTTAGTAATAACCTATGGGTCTTTACTTGTAGGAGTAACATCATTTGATTATTATGATTGTTTTTCAATATCTGAATAGTTATAGGCATGCTAATTAGAAATGTATGAACTAAAAGTATATGATGCAGGCATTTTCTCAATTGGAGTACCATTTAATTTAATGATTCCTGTAACTCCTTCACGTTTATTCATTGTAGAAGTCCTTCCTTTAAAACGCGTTAAAAAATCCACTTTCATTTTTATGATTTAATAAAATATTTAGTAAATATATCATAGAATAATATATTAATAATAATGAGATGTAACAATAGATAGATTTAAAATATGAAAAAGAAAGAACATAGAGGGAAATATGAATATTAATTGAATATATATGCAATTAAAATCTAATTATAAATATGGATCAATTTTATGATGATTATTAACCAACTACAAATAATAAAGATGTAGAATCAAATATTAACACTAGATCAAAATCTATCGTAATGGCAATTCTAATTTATGTTGTACCTTAACAATAAGGGATAATACTAAATTTAGCGAAATACGTAAATCTTTGTAATAAAAATGGGACACATAATTTAATAGATTAAGATTGTTCAATTAGGAAGGAGTAGAAATAACTGAAGACGATTTAGATTATATAAAAAATGGAACTGTGTTATTTGCATCAAAAGGTAAGATAAAAAATGTAAGTTATTTAAAGGTGAAGAATTTGATGAAAGCTTTTAATTGGCAGAATATGAACAATTGTAAGATATAGGAGAAGGAGGATTTGGAAAAGTAGTATTGGGAAGACATAAATAAACAGGTGAGAAGGTGGCTATTAAAATGGTAAAATAAATGATGACAAATGCTTAAGTATTAAAAATTATAATAATAATAAGGATGTTGATATGATTTTCAGAGAAGCAAGAGCATTAAAGTCTTTAAAACATGATAATATTGTAAAGATTTACAATGCTTTCTTTTTACAGAATTTATAAACTGTTTATATAATGGAATATTTAGAGGGAGGTGAATTACTTTAGTATTTATAAACAAAAGGAAGATTTGAAGAGAATGAGGCTAGACATTATTTTAAATAACTAGTCAGTGCAATTGCATATTGTCATCAAAAAAAGATAATACATAGAGATTTAAAATTAGAAAACTTATTATTGACAAGCAAAGATTCTGGTATAATTAAATGTATAGATTTTGGTATTTCTGGTTTTGCATCTAATGACAATCCAGAAAATGCAGATGCAGGCAGTCTTCGATACATGGCGCCTGAATTACTTAAAGGTATAATTTATTCTTTTAAAATCATTAAGGAATGGATAAGGCAGTATCTCCTTTAGTAGATGTATGGTCTATGGGTATTATATTATATGGTATGTTATTTGGTACATTACCATTTAGTGGTAATACTAATAAAGATATTATCGCTTAAATTTCTGAGGGGAGAGTAAATATACCTCCTGAATTTAATAATAAGCTTTCTCAAAATTGTTTAGATTGTTTATATCGTGCCTTAGAACCAGAACCAAAGAAAAGAATTACTTCAATTGAACTCTTAAATCATCCTTTTGTTACTAATGAAAATACGTTAGGAACTAATAATAATAAGTAATATTCACTTAAAATTTAGACCTAAAATTTAAACTTAATTATAAAAGATTGATGAAGATGAAAGTTAAGTTGTATAATAATAATCATAATCAGCAACAAATAAAAAATAAAATGTTCAGTTTACTAAATAATTCGCTAAATAACATCCATAATCTACTAGATAATTAACATAAACATAAAAGAAACCACCTCAATAATCACCATTATTATAAAAATCACCTTAATAAATTGGATAGACTGTAAAATAAACAAAATTCAGTAAAAAATGATGTGTTTTATTATATAATATTAATTATAAAGAATGTTTATGTATAGAAATCTAAAGTAGATATAATTATATAAATTCATTATCTTTGACTAAAAGATCTGAGTACAGTATCTTGATATTAATGAAATAACATTTTTGGAGGAGATTTCTTAATAGGATTAATCTTTTAAGGCAATTAAGCATATTTTGCAATAGGTTATTCTTAACTAAAATATTAAACTTAATTTATACATAGATTCATCTAATTCTTTTTATGGAGACTTTTCATGTCTGAATTTAATTTTACTAAATTAAAATTATAAAACTTTTGGTAATTAAACAGGATATAAAGTATTTCTTTAACTTTATTAATATGAAAGAGAAATTCCTTATGATTAATTAATTAATTTTTAAGATTAATGAGAGTTTTTACCTGTTGTTGATAAATTCTTTTTACTTTCTATTTATTCTAAATATGAGATATGATTTTATGATGGTTAAGTTTGATTATTAATTGAACTCTCATTCTTTTCTGTTAGATTTACAACAATATGTTATGGAGATGGACTTGGTGAAATTATTTTTTTAAAGGATTTCAAAACTTTAGATGGTCGAAATGAAGGATATTTTTACATATCTTCATTTAAGTAAATTTAATTATCAATTTATTATGGTTTTTTTTCTTCTCTTTTTTTATGTAACACAATTTACTCTAATTTATATTTTGGTAATAATTTAAAGATATCTATTTTTTCTTAACTTACTAAAGCTGTTTATGCAAATTATTTTATAGATTCTATTGTTGGTCTTAGATCAGGATCATAACATAACATAATCCTTAATAAATTATTCATATTCAAACTATATTAAGGATTATATGTAAATTTTAATCCTTTTAAGATTTATTTATGTAACACATTAATATTATTTGCTTTAAATAGAGCTTCTTTAAACATGAACTAATAAATTAAAAAACCAAGCATCCATATATCTGATTTACAATCATATATTTTTGATTTTGCAAATTCTGGTGCCAATAAATAAATATCCAAATACTCTTCAGGATGTAAATAAAATAAAATGTTCATTTCTCCTAAAACTGCATTTTTATCAATACAAAATAAATTTGATAACAGTATTTTGCCATGAGGTCTTTTTGGATGAAATAAACTGAGAGCTGAACATAACTTATATATTATTATGATAATACTTAAATTAGAATTATCAATATTTCTTTTTCTTCTAATGGACATTAATATTAACATTCTATGTATTCACTGATAACTCTTTAAAATATATTTTATTATATACCCTAAATAAGTATTATCAATATCATGTGATGCTTCAAAAAATTTTACAATATGAGGATTGTTCTTTCTAGAAACTTTATTCAATATTTTTATAATTGAGATCACTCTGTCCTTATTAATACCTTCTAAATTAAATAATCTCAAAACATAATTTTTGTTGCCTCTTCTCAGAAATATTGTTTTCTTGTATACATTTTATCTTAAAATTTCATTAACACTAAATTAAGGAAATAGCGATTCAATGTTCTTCTTTAATAATTAAGTCATTTTTATACTAAATTAATTTACATATTATAATCACATTTAAAGAAGCTCATCTTTATTTGATTCAATAATTAATTTAGTTTCTAATTAGGATTTACAAACTAAATTCTAATTATGGTTCTTTCAAAAATTATTAATCTTATATATCAATTCAATTATTCATAAAAGAGTTGATTAAATTAAGTATACATACATAAATATATCTTTAAATTTTAATAGTTTATATAGAATTATAGAAAAGCGATTACTTTGATTATCTGTATAAGTAGTTAATTTATTATTTTCAATTTAATATAAACTATTTTAAAATATGATTAATCTTAATGAATATATTTTGGTTGCATTGTTTCTTAAATAAAAAGTATATGAATAGTTTTGATTTATAAATATTTATTATATGAAAAATTTAATAAAATGTCAAGATAATTAGATATTGGAAGATGATGAAGAAGAACTCGAAAATACAAATAACTAAAAAAAGAAACTTCAATTTATTAATAGATTGTAAAGGAAAAATAATAAATCATTTGATTAAACTTGGCTTAATGCTATAACTTAAGAAAATAAAAATGAAATACAGGATAAAATTAAGTTAGCTGTTGGAGATAGTAAATTTAAGTTTAAGTACTTATTTTAAATACCTTAAATAATAAATAATCCTAAATTAGTATAGAGAAAGAAAACATATGAAATATTTACTAAAAACTCTTAACTAGAACAATATTATTTATAATTAAAAAAAGCATCTTCAGGTGCTGCAAGATCTATATCATCAAAAGCTGATTATAAGGATATTTTAAGTTAAATCTCTAATAACAAAGTACATGATACCTATTAACATTAATTTAAATAAAATAATGGAGTCATATATACTAATGAATTATGGTCTTAAAAATTAAGAAATCAAATTTATGATTAATCTAGATTAAAAGAATTATCAGAACTATTAGAAATGAATAAAATCAAGATGAGTTATGAAGAATAACTAATGAATTTTCAAGAATATTTTGTTAAAAAATTAAAACCAAAAAAATAATCAATTACTGAAATGAAATAAATAATTGAATCTGCTTTTTTTTCTGAAAATCTCTAATCTCAAAAAAGTGATACAAATAAAGAAGTTAAGATATAACATAAAAGTTTGATTTCGTATTTTAAATCTTAAAATGAAGATTAAACTTAAGACTTTTCAACAAAACATAGTAGAATGGCATCTCGAAATTAAAGTTAAGGATTAAGGCCATAATCTTAAGAAATGAGTTTCCTAAGCAGAAGAGCCTCTACATCTCAATAAAATACTAGAATGATGATGGTTCCTTAATTTTCTGCATTAAATTCACCTGTCAACTCACCAGTTAATAGATTAGATTAAATTGTTTAGGATACAAAAAGTGAGAATTAAAGTACAAAATAAACAATAAAATAAATAAATAATTTTATTAAGAAAGAAAATGAAATTCAAGAAAAGATACGTGATGATAGAATGAAAAAATATAGAGTATAAGCATTAAATAATGCAATAAAATTAAAGAAAAATCGTGAAACTAATTCTCATATAAGAAATGAATAATGATATAGAAATAATTATAAAAAATATATAAAAATATATTTATTAAATATATATCTTGAATTAGTTTATTTTTGTTTCATTTATAATTAACTTACTTATAATAAGATACTGATATTATTTTTGATATAAATCTTTTATAATTTTATTTGATATCAAGTATTAATCTAATGAAATGTTATTTGATCAGATTTTAAGTTGTTATAGTGCAAATTTAAATTAATAACTTCTTTAAATTATCAGAATAAATTATATTTCATTATAAAAAATGATGTCTTTAGATATTTAAAGTGATTATTTGGATTATGCTTCAGTTTTAGATGATAAATATTATATTATTGATACACTTGGTGTAGGCAGATATGCAAAGTAATTTTAGAATGTTGATTATTATAGAGTAAAGTTAGCCATCGATATATAAGATAAGTAAAAGTACGCTATAAAAATAATGAAGATAGATCCAACTACTAATCAAAACAAACTATCATAATTTATAAATGAAGTATCTCATTAAGCTGAGTTTGAACATAATAATATAATAAAGATTATTTAAGTATTTGAGATCTTAAATAATAGTGCAGCATAAATGGAAAGTACAGGAAAGTGGATGGTAGATTATGTTAAGTTTCTTATTTTGTGATGGAATTGGCAGATCAAGGGGAATTATTTGAATTGCTTGAATAAACTCATTAATTCTCTGAGAAATTTTCAAGGGGAATATTTTCTTAATTGATTAAGGGTAGTTTATTAAACTTAACTTAGCATAGGCATTGAATATTTACATGAAAGAGGAATAGTTCATAGAGATATCAAATCAGAAAACATTTTATTTAGCAATGGTATCTTAAAGCTAGCTGATTTTGGATTTAGTGCCAAATCTGTTGATTAAACTGGAGCCAAAGTCTAATTTGAGGTTCAATAATATTTAGGATCTCCAGAGTATAATCCACCAGAACTTTCAAATACAAGTAAAAATATTATTATAAACTCTAAGTTGGTAAATAAAAATATTATATACCTGAATCTGCTGATGTATTTGCATCTGGAGTCATTCTATTTAGTATGGCTATGAGATCTGCTCCATTTAAAACATCTAAAAATACAGATCCTTATTATTCTTTATTAAAATAGGATAAATAAAAGTTTTGGTAAGTGTTTTAAGAATTGAATAATAATATATCTCATTAATTCAAAGATTTAATTGAAAAAATTTTGGAAGAAAATCCATAAAAAAGAATATCATTAGAATAAATTAAAAAGCATCCATGGATGTAAGGTTAGATTTCTAATTTGACTGATTTTAAAACAGAAATTAACAACAGATATGAGATAGTTTAAAATAAAATGAAGGCAAAAATAACTTTTAGAAGACAATAGAAATTTACTAATAGAAGATATTAAAAGAGAATAGAAATGTCTATTCCTAATCTTATTCCACCAAAATATCTATAAGAGAGTTTAGTTGTTATTGATGATGTAAATAAATAAATATTTTAAAGATTAATGATAAATTGTATAAGAGATTATTACTATAAGCATATTAAGATTAAATAAGCTAAAAAGCTCAGCCAACAGCAGATTTTAAAATTATTGAAATATAATAGAAAACTAAATCTAAAAGAGAATTAGAAGGATCTAAAAAGTCTAGCCCTGCTACTCCTCCTAATGATTCTGATAATTGAATTTATTTAATTAATACATAATCTTTTTATATTTAATAAAAAATAATTATATATAGTTAAGTTTATTAAGATTTAATTTAATATGAAAAGGTGATTTATTTTTATACATAAATTATAATTAATTTCACAAATCTGTTTTAACTTTGAAAATGCTTCCATAATTACTTTATTCACTTAACCATTAAGTCAAATTTTCTTCTGTCTTTTATAAATGTAATGTATATGGATGTTCTTTTCCTGCAGCATACAATTTGACATGAGGATAATTATCAATATGAAGATCATCAATTTCATTATTTTCAATGTCACATCTAGCAAAGATAACTTTACCTTCAATAGCTTATTTATGCTAAATTAAAATAAATTATTAAAAATACTTTCTTAAATACTTCATTATAATCAGGTCTAAAGTCTTTGCATGGTTAACATTTCTTAGCAGTATAAGTAACAACAACATCAATACCTTTATCATTTTATTCTTTAATGAATGGATAATAAGTAGATCTAGTTAATTTATAGATTCCTGCTCCATCATATAAATTTTACAAAATTCCTTCATCTCTATAGAATGGTTTTATTTATCCTGATTAAATTTACTCATAAAATTGAATTGGATCTAATGGTCCATTTTTATATTTATAGAATCTGTTATCATCAATTGGTTTCATAGCTATTAATTATGGCAATTAAGTTGTATTAACATTAATTTCATAAACTCTTTCTAATCTTTCTTCACAATCTCCATTAACATCAAGAACACCAACAATAGCTTTATTTAATAATGGATATCTAGCATCTTGCATTTGTTATACATATTATTCATGTTCAGGATCTAATTACAATTTAGTAATAAAAATACTTGTTTTATTGTATAATAACATTATTGATGGTAATAAATCTACTCTTCTTGATAATTTCTAAAATTTAGTATCATCAACATAAACAAATCCTTTTTTAAAAGCATAAATCTTTAAAAATTAAAGTATTTCATCTGTATTTTTAATGTCTCCCTTAAATCTATATAAATAAGTTTAATATTTCTTAGTTTTTTCTTCACTTATATCCTCTAGATCTTCCAATTTACTATAAATAACTAGTCCACTTTCTTCCTTTTTCAAACCTAAATGTTAATACAATTCTGGATTAAAGATGTGACAAAAGACATACTAAGAGATATATATTATAATATTTACTCCTTAAGGTAATTATTTGGCAGCTTAAACGAAAGCTTTCAAAGGGGAAACTCTGTATTCAGGTGTAGCTAAGAAAGCAATTAATTAGAAACTGTTAATTTTGTTAACAAATTGATCCCATTTTTAAAGAAGAGATGATGGATAAAATTCATCTAAATATTATATTATATGAATACTTAATTCTGGAGAATCTCTATAGGTCTTCTTTAGCCAGTTTAGAAAGGCTTATGCATTATAGGCTCCAGAATACTTTTATTTTTAAGTGTCAGCATAAAATAGAAAGATGGATGGAGTGACTTAAATTTACGTTTTTTCCATAAGTTTTTTTTCTTCAACAGAGTTAACCAATCCAAAATTGATATTTGTTGGATATGTGCCAGTTTTTTAAAGGCTATGTTATCCTGTAGCAATAGCTATAAAATCATCTAGAAACTTTTTAGATTATTTGTCATCTCCATAATAGAAGACAATCAAAGGTTAGTGTTCCTTCTTTGCCATAGTATAGTTTTTGTATCCAAGATAGACTAATTCACTCTAACCTAGAGAGAATAACAATGTGAATATCAAGAGCATTTTCTAGATAATAAAAATATAACACGTAAGTAATATATATCTCAATTCCTTAATTTATTATAGGCTTGCATTTCATTTTCAATAAACACAGTTTTATATTTGCTTTATTATCCTTTCACTATTTTTATTGAACTTTGATCAATAGACAATTTTTCACTTAACATTCTTATAACATCTTCATTGGCCTAATTATCAATAGGTTGTGCTTTAGTCTTTATAATAAGGAATTCTTCTGAAAATTCAAGCATCTCTGATTTTGACTTTGGTTTAACAAATAACTATAAATAAAATCCTTTTGGTTTTCCACTTAAGAATTATTGAGTTACTTTAATAATATTCATTTTATGGCTAATATTATAGTGTTTGGAGATAAATTGTCTAATGCTTTATTTTCAAAGTGTCTATATTATGGAGCCTTTAATAAAAGATTTTATCCAAAGGTAGATCAAATGAAATTGACTGCAGTTGATAAGAGAATAAGAATCCTTGCAGCAAATTAAGTTGGATTAGAATAGAGTTTATTCATATTATTGCCTTAAAGTTCTAAAATGATACCTTCTGAATACAAAGTGATAATCAATCCTAAGATTCTCAAAATTTCAAATGAGATTGTAGAAAGTATTGAAGAATCTATTAGTTTTCCTTATTTTAAAGCTAAAGTAAATAGATATAAAACTATTTTTGTTTCTTATGATGATAAGAAAGGTAAAACAGTCTAAGAGGAATTAAAGTATGTTAATATTTAGAAATTTTAGAGGAATGGAATCAATTTGGTATTAGTAGGCAATAGATTAAGTAATGGGAATTCCATGCATTAGTTGGGTTGCATCATAAGGAAAAGTTGAATTGAAACCAGAATATTAAAAATTAGCTGAATAGAATCCTGAATTTCTTAAAGCTTTTAAGGAATATGTAGAAATTGGATAGTAGTAGAAATATTAGGAGAGAAATCTTTATAGAGTGAATCCTTAAGATGAAAGAGAAGATTATGCATTATAAGGACCAACTCATAAACCAGAAAATTATGAACTTTATGAAAAATTATTGAAGAAATTAGAGAATGAATTATTTTATACTTTTTGATATTATATTCAAACCATTTATTCTTTTAATCTTAAGATATATATAAAATTATTTTAATTACTAAGAATAAAACAAAATTAATATATCTTATAAAACATTATTATTTATTACAATAATTACAATAAAAACATTAATTAAATAATATATTACATTGTTATTCATAATTTCAAATAACCAATTGACTAAACAATTTTTATAATTCATCTGCCTCTTCTTCATCTTCATCATCACTATCAAATGCTCCAAGAACTTTATCTTTAGTTGCGAATAATTCTTTAAACTTTTATTTTGTTGCTTTCTTGAATTCATTTCCTTTCAATTCCAATTTCTTAAATAATTTATAATCATTACTGTAATATTATCTACTTATTTAGCAATAATTTCATATAATTCGTTTCCTTATACATCATTTAATTCAGCATAATTGTAACCTAATCTTTCTATTTTTACTAGTTTAGTTAAAGCTTCCAATATT